GGAGTATGATGGTCCCACTGCTGGCCAAGGCCAAACCAGCCAGAGGAGGTGGTAATGCCTTTGTGATATCATACTTAAGAAGCAAAAGAGAAGTACAGAAGTACAGAAGTACAGTGCAGATGTAATTGGGATCAGAGAAGAGCATAGTTAGAATAAGAGCAGCCCTGCAGTCATCAAGGTGGGTGAAGGAGGGACAGGAGGTGCTCCAGGTGCCAGAGCTGAGGTTTCCCTACGGCTGTGGTGAGACCATGGTGAAGCAGCTGTGGCCCTGCAGCCATGGAGGTCCCTGAGGATGCAGAGATCCACCTGCAGCCCCTGGAGGAGACCTACACTGAAGCAGATGAATGCCCAAAAGAAGGCTGTGACCCTGTGGGAAGTCTGTGCTGTAACAGGCTCCTGGCAGGACCTGTGGATAGAGGAGCCACGCAGCAGCAGGTTTGCTGGTAGGAGCTGTGACCCTGTTGGCCATGAACACTGGAGCAGGCAGTTCTTGAAGGACTGCACCTTCATGAAGACCTGCAGCCCATGGCAATGATTCACACTGGAGAGGCTTGTGGAGAACTGTCTCCTGTGGAGGGACCCTATGCGGGAGCAAGGGAAGGGCTCCTCTTCCTGAGAAGCATCAGAAACAATCTGTGATGAATTGATCATAACCCCCATTCTTCATCTTCCTGCACCACTGGAGAGGAGGAGGTAGATCCCAGGACGCAGAAAGGGGTGGGGGGGAAAGGTATTTTTAAGATTTATTTTACTTCTCATTATTCTGCTGTGAATTTGAATAGTAATAAATTCAGTTAATTTCTCCAAGTCAAGCCTGTTTTGCCTATGAAAATAGTCTGCTTGTGATCTTTCTTGGTACTTACCCCATGAGCCTTTCGTTATATTTTCTCTTCCCTTTCCAGTTGTGGAGAGGGGTGATAGAGTGGCACCTGTCATCCAGCTACAGTCAATCTGTCCTACACAATCTTGTCAGGTCTCTATGACTGACTTTGTTTTCTCTTTGGAAAACAATACAACTGGAAATTAAAACCATTTTAGTAAGAAAACTATAAAATTTTAACATTTGCGGTGGCATAGATTTTTATTCTTCCCTTTCTTGTTTTTTGAGGGGAAGTCTGTTCTTCCTTTCTTGCAGTCTAACATGACTACTTCTATATTTGTTTGGCTTTAAATTTAGTGTTTCCCTTTACTGATTTCATAGAGTTTTGCTTCTTTTACAGAAATGTAGAAAAATGTTTTGTATGTTTTCAAGCAATGCACTTTCAATTATGTTAGATTGTAGTGAAAGTGAGAATGGAAAATGCCCCTTTTATAATTCTAGTTGATGCTCTCCATACCAAAATTGTTGCATATAGATATTCTCAAGAACCTTGAGTAATAACATTTTAAGTGCTTCTCCCATTCTTCTATGAAGGGTAGCATTTACATTCCTGTAGACTTCCCCACTATACACCTTTCTTTAGATATCACAATAATTCAGATACACTTCTGAGAAGTCACCTATGTTTGTGGTTACAATAGGCAACTTTCTCTCTTTTTGTTTTAAGGAGTCTTATTCCAACAACTTTCTAGATTGGTGCAAAAAAGCCCTGAACATGAACATTTCTTTTTGCATGCTCCAGAAAATGGCATCAGAGCATGTAGAGTATACATGCTTTTTAAGCTTGTAAACTAACATACAAGTAAGTATTATGAACATTGCTACTGCCCTCTTGATTTTACACTGCAGAGGAGATGCTATTATTGGCTTCAGACTCAAATGTCATCTGGGTTTGGAGTCTTCCAGATTATGATTTCATCTCTGTAAATTCTAGTTTTCATAAGTCTGTTTATATGCACTGTAAACTGAAATACTCCGTCTGAAATAGTTACAGACATACAATGCTAATCAAAACATTTTATGGTTGAGTTATGCCTGCTTTTACTCTTTTAAAAATTCTGCTTGGGAAATCACAGCATTGTATTTTAGATTAGATGCCTAACATTTCCTTGTTTGTTTACTTCCTTTACCCAGACAAGCCACCATATTCAGTTGAGCTGGGCTTAGGACTCGAAAAGAGACGTTATATTTGGATAAAAACCAAATAAATTAATGCCAATTTTATTCTTTCCAAGACAAGCTTATCACTGAAGATTTTATTAGTTTAAATAATTTGCCCCTTGAATTTGCTAGGTACCTTAAAAGATCATGCAATTCCTTCAAATTCCAGGATAAATGCCATTATAAGATGGTACAGAATGGGGATTGGTGAGCTTTTGTATGTCTCAGTGAGCAAAATAGGTGACAGGAAGCAGTTCTGCCTGCTTAGACATTCATCCAAGTCTTGCTATAAGGACTGGAAGGACATCCATTGACTTCACTGGGAACTGGATGAGTCTCTAAGCGTCAATAAAATCAAAGAATTCTCACAGTGAATCGGCCTATCTGGCACGCATTAAAATAAACGATTGTAAATTTTGAAAATGACTCTTCTTGCAGCATAGGCCAATTGGTCAGCTGCAAATTTGGCACAGCTGTGCAGCATGTGTCCTGGGCAGTCCACAGGAACATGATGTTCTTTTTCACTCCTGAGAGCTTTGGAAAATGAAAGAAAGGACTCAACCCATTGCTGAAGACTAAATGCTGAAATAATGGAGCTAAATAAAGAAATCAACAAAAGGCTTACAAAGGTAACATTTATTTTGGAAGAAAATAAATTAACAAAACCCCAAAAGATGAAACATTTTAAAGGCATGTGTACTGCTTAATTGGGTGTTCTGGAAAGAGAAGAAGAAAATTCAGAAAATTCTCTGGCAGAAGCTGATGGAATTTGACCTTTATATCAATGCACTGTAGAAATAAGGCAGAATTCCTGAAAAAAAAATACTAAGCATGTAATTTTCATCCTTTAACCATCTGTGAGGGGAGTGAAACTCATCCAAAGAAAGGAGAAGCTACTGAGCCCTAGGCATCACACTGCTGCGAAGAAATGCTGCTGCTCTGTCTTCAAATAGAAGGATGATTTTGCAGCACAGACTCCTAGGGGATGCCTTTAAAGCCTTGTGCAGTGGGTATGAACTCTAGAAAGAATAGATTTTCAACTGCATATAAAGACAAAAGAGCAAAAAATTACAGTTGAATATTGTTTTTCATGTAATAAAGCACAGCACATGCACACTTAGGCTTGAAAGCAGCCACTGAAAAACTGGTTTTGATTGCCCTGTTTTCCCACAAAGGAAGCTTCTCATGCTTAGAAAGCTAGATGAATGTCATTAATGGAAAAGGAGCTTCACCACAATAAAAGAAATGTGAGATTTAGTATCCGTACCATGCTGTTAAACACTAATCTCAAAAGACCTTAAGTCTAGCTCAGCATTTTGCAATTACATAGTAAAAGATACTTTGGACTTCCTTATTTAATGTCTTTGGGGGTAGTCTGCACTGGTAAAACAAGATATTACAGAATATATGATTAATAACTAAATATCCCTGTGACCTAGAGATAACTACTTCTCTCCAAGCTAAGTGAATTCCTGAAGAGTCTTTTTGCAGTTGTTAAAAGGTACTAAAAAGTCACTCTTTAAAAACAATGCAATTTTAAATTAGCATTTTAATTCTGGGGGCCTTAGAACTCCAAAGTTTCATCTGTGTTTTGTTTTGCTATTTACTTCCAGCTGTTGCATGTGATCTGGAGTTCTCCTCCTTCTCTGCTTCCCTGCTGGCTCTGAATGATTTGTGACTGCATTCCACAAAGATCCAGTGTGACAAGAGCAGAAGAATACATTAAAAGACATTTTTTAGAGGTGATCTTAAAACTCTGTTTTTTGTTAATTCAACCCTTTTTTTTCAGTTAAAATATCTGACCACTAGTAGTTTAATTTGACTCATTGATGCTAATGGTCCATGTCCACCTCTGTTTCTATGGAAATTGATGGCAGCCTGAAGAGCAAAGAAAGATTTTAAACATATTCTTCACAGAAGCTGTTACTTATTGGATGTCCTTTATCTCTAAAATCTCACTTAGAATGGTTTCTGGTAGCAAAACAAAAGCACTGCTAAATAGTTTCTAGTAATGCTAGAGGACCAAATTTACCAAAATACATTTTTCAAGTATATACAGAAGAAAATCCTGGGTTCACTGGCTTCTTGATCTTGATTTGTTATTTTTTGCATCAAGTACAATAATGCACCAGATCAGAAAGAGTATATCAAATGCTACGAAAGTAGGATGGGTGAATAAAGCATTACCAAAATGGGACAAATTTGCTTCATTGCTCTTTGTAAACAACAAGCATGGTGAGAAGGAAAGAAGGGTGAAAAATGGGCAAATTTCAAATATCTGCTCTTAAAGGGAGCATGGACATTGTTCTCCCAAGGGAACATTGGCTCTCCATAGAGGTTTTGCAAGTAAGGTGTGATGCAACATTTCTCTCTGAAAGCTATCACTCTGCAGGAGTATTTCCTTAGGCTGAATAGGTTAGTGTTGTGTTGAGGTTTTTTTCTGATTCATGGGTAAAATTCTGGTTGGTTCAATAGATAGTATTTACAGCTGAGAGCAAAATTGTTTCCAAAATATAGGGAAAACTTAAAAGCCTTTTCTTTTTCCCAGCAAAAGATTGAAAGACTTCATTGAAAATATCCTATTCATGTCTCCAATCTTTGTATGCATGCACACACATGATCTTGGTCTCATATAAAACAGTGAGGAAGGATAACATGGAATGAGTATTTACACAGAGTAATATAATGAATACAAGTCACTTCCACTTTTTAATTAACTTCTCTGGGACAATGTGTGAAGGCAGAACACATGTCCTGGCATGTATGCTATTTCAGCAGATTGTGGAATATTGCCACATGCTTGTTTTCATGACTTTTTTATGGGTTCTCCCATTGGCTATCTCCTGGTTTTAGGTTATTGAGTCAAATGTAATCTAACATGCAGCATGTGTATTTTAATGTGTGTAACTGGACATACTGTAGTATCTCAACAGCATGGCCTCTGATAGATTTAACATACTGAGCATTTTGTACAGCGCATGAGCCGTGGATTCCATATGTGCTTCTCATCATCTGAGGTCTTGCCCTTCATGCCTCCCTCGTTGTGTACTTTGTCCATCCACTCCATTGATCAAGTGGCAATGGGCTTCATTGAAAAAAGTGCTAACAACTTTGCACCCGGTTTGAGCAGGTGGCTTAATATTGATCTTAAGACAAAGAAATATTTTTGACAATTTGTCCTAAATAATTTCTCTGAATAGGACTTTTGTCCTGGGACAATTCCCACCTAGAAAAATGATGTATCATTATGTGACAAGTTTGGATTTTCAGATTCACTGGATGGACTAGAGAGAAATTTTTTCCTTGTTGAATTTTTTATGTTTTCTGAAGTGGAGTAAGAAAAGAAACGTGGTGAAGCCTTTTTCCCCCAAATGCTATGGAGGTTGTAGGTCCTGTCACAAGCTACAGACCCTCATTTCCCTCAGTAAGCTGCTAGGATGTATTACAAGAATCCCTGATCTTAGCACTGTGGAGAAAATTGAAGTCACAGGACATGAACATTGGCATATATCAGATCAATCAGATTAGGCAATGTTGATAGTAGAAAGATTCAGCTGAAAACCAACATTGTGTTTAAAAATTAGTTCAAAAAACAATTTTCTGCTGAAATGAAGTTTGCACAAAAAACCTACTCTCAACCAGTAATATCTGAAAGGCCAATACTCTGCTGATGGCAAAGTATTTGGTTGTTACTTTTGTACAGATGGCTGCATAACATTCACAGAAGGAATGATTCTAGAAGCCAGTTTTTCAAATGTCATCTTCTACATATGTAAGTGCAAATGGGTCCCAGCATATCACTTGTGCATGCAAATGATAGACCTAGCATTTGCACATCAAGCACAGATCATCTTTGGGCATTATCCTACAGATGGACAGATACAGTGTGAATCACATTTATTCAAAGAAATGCAAGCTAAAATCCCTTTAGAAAGGCAGACTCTTGGTTTGTCTACTCCCAGCAACACACAGTTGCTGAGGTAAGCAGTTACTCCTCCACAATCTTGTGAAAAGAATTTTATCATCCTCTGAATATGCTCTTATTAATCCTATTTCCAAAGGTATGATGCCATTTTGTAAGGCTGTGCAGTGCAGAAAACAAGAGAGTTTTTAAAATTAATATTGGCTTGGGCTGTCAATATTACACACCTCTGCACAAAAGTTGACAGAAAGAAAATATGCTGGGTCAATATTAGGAGAATGGATTTTTAAAAAACATTTTGCGATATTGTTGTCTTTAATCTGTCATGTCATTAATGATGCATCGTTGGCTGAGGCATTAAGGCACATTATTTATAGTTCTGATTAAATTTAGCCATGTGAAAGAGGCTTTTTTTCCCAATCTATTTATTTGTGAGAATAGATTTTTTTACCAGAATAGCTAAGACTAAGAAATTTTGATCTCGTCAAATCTAAGCTGATTCCATTGGTTTCTATACCAATTATTTAATCATAGATTGGAAATAAACACCTTCATTGAGACTCACAGTAATTTGGAGTGGTGTTAAATTGCTAATAGTATGCTATGTATAGATGTGCTAATACAAATGTGATAGCTGGACATGCATCATATATCATCTCATTGAAAGTTTTATTACTGCTTCAATGCTAGAGAAGAAAGTAAGGTTTTACTGAGAGTAGGAGCAGTTCTCCAAACAGTACCATTTTAAATGTGCAACATGCAATAAATTACCTTTTGTCTGAAGGATTTAAATTGTATTTATATTTCAAAGAAAAAATCACAAAACTTTTTCTGTTTAAACACAATTCTTTCCACGGTATCTTTCTGAAAGAAAGGGAGGTAGAACATATAATTTTAAGCTTTTGTAGATATTTACTGAAGCTTTGCTTCAGTATTCTTGATATTTTTTAAGGAACTCAGTTAAAGATGCCTTATTAGCTACTTTGTCAGCTATTTGATGCCAAAAGTGTTGACACAGGTGAAATAAAGTTCATGGAAAATATTGTATTTCTAAGAAACAGACCGCTTAGCACATTCTCTGTTGGTCTGGTCATATGACAAAGGGGCCTTATCAGGACATGCTTGGTTTTATTACTAGAGGTAAACCTTTTTGTATGTGGTGAGCTATTTGACTGTTAGAGTACTGCATTTTGGATAGTGAGCCATAAACATGTTTGTGGCTTTCAGATGTATAAAAAAATCAAGGCCTTATATAATCACCCATGAAGAAGAAGAAGAATCTAGTACGATTTTTGTTTGTTTTCTGTAGGGAGTACAGCTCAGATGAGTGTTAGCTTTCTGACTGAAGACAACGCAGTTTTTAACAGCTTTTAGATCTTTGCATGTCTGTAGCTAACTTAAGAAGTCTTCAAAAGGCTTTCAGAAGTCATGGTGCTTTTTTTTTTTCTGCTTAACAATGAACTTACAGAACTTAAACAATGTAAGAAGGTACTGGAGGAAATCTACATCTTCTGAGTCCAGGGAAAAGGGCCAGAAGACCCAAAATAGTAGACAGTGGGTGAAGTTTTCCTAGAAGTAGTAACACACCAACAGCAAAGCAAGATGTCAAGCTTGGTGTAGCAACAACTACATAAAATTAATATTTCCTTCCTCTTCTCTCCACAAATAGGTTCAGATAAAAGGACCCCGTGACTTCTTCCTCTTTGAACTTAAATTGTTTTTAATGTCTGTCAATTTCTGTAGCCTCTGTAGGGTGAATATGACATAGACTCTGCTAAGAAAAGTGCAAAGAAATTGAGAAACTGAAATTGAAAAATCTTCAGTAATGAATAATTTTGAATGGGAATAGAATGGACCAAAGAAGCATGACAGGAAGTAAGACATGTGTTGACATGATTTTAATGTTTTATTACATAGTTATCTCCAAAGACAGGTATTTACAGTGGAGTTCATCATCTAATTCAGTTCTCAGTCAGCATCTGAGAAGAGCATTTCTCTCTGCTATTCTCCTAAAGTCCCACCATGCATTTTATTGAACATGAAAGACAAACATCATGTTATAAACAATGAAATCATGTTTCTCCTAGTTTGAAGCAAAATACTGGACCACATAATCTACTGAGAATCCTTCCCTATTTCCTTTTCATTGATTCTATTGTTGGAGGCAACTTCCCTGTGTTTCTACAGCTTTCTTTGATGCAAAAGCAAAAATACAATTAATTAAAATTAAAGTACTATCTAATTTTCTGGCAGAAATTCATTAATCAGAAAGTAAAAAGTAGGAAAGGAAATGGTCTCTGTCTCTTCTTGGATCAATGTCGCTCTATTGCCAACAAGTTAATTCATTGGTGTGGAAATGCACTTCCTTCTTTCCTCAGTGCAAATCCTAGTTCAGGATTTTTACTGCCTTGCCAATAATAGGAGTCTGATGAATTGATATTTGATATGTTTTCAGCTAAGTAAATTCAAGACCAGTCTTAACAAATAATATGGAACTGTGGAACAGATTTGGATTCTGTGCTGGGCGGAACATTTCCAAGATAGGTGACTCATTTCACTTTATTTAGTGTACCTTTTACTTATGAATTCTAGGCATCCTCCTGTCAAGTATCTACAAAAGATGGAACTGTATCCAAGAACTGACAGCTATTCAGATTGGACAACAACTAATGTGAATTCACTTTGAAGTCACCAAACACCAAGAGAAGTTATCATAAATCCTGCCAAATTTTCTGGATGCTTTATACGTGTGATAAACAAAAACCAGAAAGCATTCTGCGGGCAGGCATGATCTCAAAAAGCAGTCTGCTCCTCTTCTTTCCAGTGCTGTTGCTCCATGTAGTGGTAATTGGGCCACTGAACTCTCTGTTGCATTTCAATAGCCTTTCCACATACTGAGTGCCAGGTTTCTTAGACAGAGTTCTTAAAATGACAGGTATCCTTGATCAATACTTAACCATCCAGATTTCTTGAACTCAAGTTCTTTGACTCACAGGTTGTTGCAGTTGAGATGGACATGACATGACTCCGTGGTTCATGCAGCAACAGAGAATTTTTATTGATTATAGCTCTCTTTTAATATGGTTTTCGAATAATCTCACAGTTGATCCCAATTGACTAAATTTTAGTTATCATTCAGCTCACTAGCCAATAGCTGCCTGCATCCATGCTTGCCAGGGATTGGCTGGTGTTGTTTGAATTTGAATCTCCCAGCTTCTCAGTGCCTTCCTCCTAGGGATGTTTACTTCTTTTCCTTAACAGCATAGACTAGTTGAGTTATAGTTAGGGCTACCCATGACTGTGAGGCCTCCAGGCCAGCTGTTGGCCCTCACAACTCCCCCTTTTTGTTTTTAAATACAAATGCAGTGTCTGTCACTCTCTGCAGGGCCCTTGCAGGCAGGATGACAAACGTGGCACAACATGTGAAATAATTGTGATGGCACAAATGCAAGCCTAGTATGAAGGAGGGTCTTCAGCCAACTCGACAAGCCTAGCCTTACCAGCCATTTATCTATCCCACATACTATCAAAAGTTTTTACTATTGTGTCCAGGAGCTATCAAAAATGAGCACAGTTTTACAGGGTGGTACGCTGCACACCGTTCACATCTATGGCTGAACTGCTCAAACTAAAGTTACAAACAAGTCAACTAAAAAAACTGTCAAAGGTAACATTCAAAAACTGTAAGAGGTAACATTTCACTATCTTGTCTCAGTTTTATCTTACAGGTCATGTCCAGGTGTGTAATTAAAATTTACATGTCCTTTTGCTATTAATGTCCTTAAATTATTTCACTCTTCAGGTTTAAGTGAAGTAATAAGTGAATTGTCTTCTAGTTGTTGACAACATCCAGTAGATGTTGGTTTGTTAGGTCATGTTGAATGTGATTGAGAATTTTAAGAATATCCAAGGCTTTTGTGGTGGGTATATACCATCCCTGCACTCCCCCTTCTTTTTTTTTACAATAGTATACTTAACATCATTATTCAATGGTAGTGATGAAAATAATTAATCTTTTCACTTTTCAAACATTGAAATCTGAATGTCAATGTTGTTGAAAGGGCTTTTTTCTTTTGTTACAGCATAAGCTTCATTTCCTGTTGGTCCATGGATATAATAGTGATAGATATGTGCCAGCTGGCTTG